CTTAAGGTAATGATCCATGGCCACTCAATGTATGTTTGAAGTAATGAGTTCCATTGTTTCACTGTTCACTACCAGCGGTGATCTTGATAAGCTACCCAATAGAAGGCTATCGGCTGGAGTGAAATAACGTTGTGTTCCTTGTTTGGCATGCTGTTTTTATCTGTTTGAGAACATCTACACCGACCTTTGAGAGCAAGTGCCCAGTGTCTTAATGCCAATGAACTTACTCCAAAATCTGACATCGGGATCGACGGTTTTTCTGGGTTCGTTACCATTCATTCAGTTTTCTCAGGTGGATGAAACGACAACCCGGGCGCCAGCCCGTTCGTCGCTACATTCCGGCATTTGCACGGAACGCAGGAGGAACATCGCAAGGCTGGGTCCCAATCAATCCTCACTGTGGGTCACAGTCGCTGTCGGCTTGGTACTGATGGCACGTGTAACACCGGCAGCACCGAGGTGCTCGGTATACTGGACGACTACCGGCCTCTGTGGTCGCCAATGCAGTTTGCTATGCCACCGTGTTCGTCGTCCGAGGGGCATTGGACAGAGCAGGCTGCAGCACCTGCTAAGAGGCACTGGTGAGCCGCCTGGAGCACGACGGCCCCACGTCCTTATGTCACCATCTGTGACTGAAAAATCGCAGTGGGCTGGTGAATCTCTCCGCAGCAGCAGTCGAGAGGTGCTCCTGAGTGCTGAGGAGGAGCTCCGCCTCTACATTGTGCAGCTGGACCGTGCAGCTGTTTACCATGCAGTACCCTAGCAGATGCTGCGGAGCGCGGTTTGGGAAACCACCGCAACGAGCTGATCAGAATTCTGGTGGTCACCTACCGACGGCTGTGTCTTCATCACCAGGGGAGGCTGCACAATGCACGCCTGCAAAGGAACAGAATCCACAGAAAAAAATGTCTGAAGCAGTGCTGTTTAGGGGACATTAGGCAGCCTGTAAGCTCCGATGTCCTGTCTTCCTCTGTCGGGTGACATGATAAGCAGATACCCTTTCCTGACATAATCTCACACTTTTCCGATAGACGGGTTCGTCCAGCCTATTCCCTGCTATCTGCTTAGGCTTCTGTTATACGTGAGGTGAGCTTTCGTAAGAAGAAATGTCCGTGTTTTGATGTACAGCGTAAAAATATATAAATTTGTGTGTGATGCCGTATAATTGTTAGTAATTTAATACAGTTCTACTGTCAGTTTCCAGGAAAGTGTGCGTGAATGTCAAACATTATTGTGAGAGGATGCTTGTGGCGCCTCGTAGCGGTCCGGTTTGTTGCCTGCTCGGGCGCCCCATATATCTGAGCGTGGCAGGTACTTGTGCCGGTCATCTCTCTGTGAAGACCGTGGAAATGGCGAACGCAGCGGTAGGCAAAATCACGCCCCGCATGATGCAGATTCGGCAACGACTTGTGCGTCGGCGCCACACTCGCGGCTACCGACCCGTGGACAACGGCAGCATCACCGCGACAACAGATGTGCCGACGTCCAACCACGGCAGTATCGAATATTGCACCCGTCGACGCCCACCACGGAATCCGCACAACGGCGGGTGTACCCTACAGCACTTGTCCCTCGAGCGCCAGATAGAACAGTAGTCTCGCCGATGCTTGGCGGAACCATCCAGGGCAGCGGCAGCGCCGAGGCGGTTGTCATCAGGGGTGGGCCCTCGCTCGACAGACTTTCCGAACGGATGTCGCCCGCACCCATCGGATGCGACTGCAGCCGAATCCCGCGGAATTCTAGAAGAGACAAGTAGACGGGAAGATAGCGGTCTCACTACCGCTCAGTGTGAGCACAGCGGACCGTCCGTGCAGGCAGCGGTTGTGGAGGTCGGCGGCGGGGATTTCTCCACACCGATAACTCATTGATCAGTGAAATACAGGACATAGATGGTTCAGGATCGTTGACATATGACCTTGTCTCGGTAAGGCCTTCAAAACCAGTTCTAGCTTCAATTTTTGCTTCCGCGATCTTACACAGTGCAGACGTCCTCGCCGCACGCGTTGCGTTGGCCTTGTCAGGACGAGTCTTTGTTTATCGTCATAACCAATATGGCGGCCGGCTCCACCTACCAGCAAGCGGATCACTCCATTCACCTGTCGTATCTAGTCTGTATATCCATCAACAAAACATTGACCGTTTTCCGTTTCCGCCGAGAAACGACCGTCATTGAAGCGCATGACACACTTCTGGAAGACACGGAGTTCTTAGGCCCTGGGTCCATTCAACAAGCTGTCGGCGGCTTTAACACTATTCTCGGTAATTGGCCTTGGATGGTGCTGTTCGGCCAGCGGACGGACACCGGCGGGCAGAAGTGGTTCTGCGGCGGCGTCCTCATCACCGACCGACAAGTGCTCACGGCCGCCCACTGCCGGCGGCCCGAGCAGGCCGCCACCATGGTCGCCCGCATCGGTGATCATGATCTCACCACCTTCAGGGACGTCCATCACCAGGAGCGGAACATCGCCAGTATCGTGCGGTACCCGCAGTACCACGCCTCAGTAACAGTACATCCGGTTTCCTGTTTTACCCATCTAAATATTGCAAGCATTTAAAGCGGCGGAGGTGGAGTACTGTTGTTAAGGGTGCACCGCCGTTTACCTGGAGACGGCCGTCCTTGGTGTCTGGTCGGACCTACCACCCGCCAGTACGTCGGTCACCACCTTTATCCTAGCCCTGTGGCTCGCAAGTGTGTGTTGATGTCGGGTGCACAGGAGTAATAACGAGCCGAGTCGTGCGTGTAATGTCATCTGGCTCGTGTGCTGGCCAATGAGCTGTTCGTTATAAATTGGCTCTTGTGAGGAGGCATGATAGCGGCAGCAGGCGACGCAGAGCATCAACAACTACAGTGCGGGACTCCTCCCCAGAGTCCCCCCTCGCACACGCGCACACACAGTTAGAAAGGGCTTCGATTGCCGTCAACCGTTGTCCAAACTATTGTACAACGATCGCCGACTGCTGTACAATGAGCAGTGGGCCGTGTCTAAGGCCATCAGTTGGTTCTTCGTGACCGGAATTTTCTGCGGAGGAGCGGGAGCTGGGACCACGTGCCATGGTTAGAAGGCAAGGGGTTTGAGACTCGTTTTTCAAGGTCGAACACATGCACGGTGTATTTATTTTCGTGGCCTTTCGAGTAAAAGATGTTAGATGTGGTATCATAACTATATATGCAAACTCTGTCACCGAATCACAACTTTACAAGCCTTTTGGGCTGTGACATGCCTTCGGTGCAATTGTTTAGGTATTGAGATTAATCAAGTATAACTTATTTTGCACGAAATCCATATATCTATACAGCACAAGAGATATGCTGCAGCAGACAAAGCTGGGATTTTGATAGCAAACGTCCTTAAGCTTGCTGTGCACTCTATTCAAAGAGGATTTTCTGATATAACCAACAATTTATTTTTCTCGGAAGGACGCTTCCATCTCAGGACAAAGCGCTGGCCACGCTCTTTTAAGGCGGTCTCACCGGCCACAAGCCTTTGCCTTAAAACTCCCTCCAGTTACCAGCACGCATGTTTAGGATCTTGTGCCGTTCTGTTGTGCTCTTACATACAGGAACCTTCAATCAATCTGCACAACACACTGTCGGTAAACTGCCGGCTGCAGGTACCAGGCCATAGAATTATCATTATCATTGTGTGTGTGTGTGTGTGTGTGTGTGTGTGTGTGTGTGTGTGTGTGTGTGTGTGTGTGTGTGTGTGTGTGCGTGTGTGCGTGTGTGTGCGTGTGTGCGTGTGTGTGTGTGTGTGTGTGTGTGTGTGTGTGTGTGTGCGTGTGTGCGTGTGTGTGCGTGTGTGCGTGTGTGTGTGTGTGTGTGTGTGTGTGTGTGTGTGTGTGTGTGTGTGTGTGTGTGTGTGTGTGTGTGTGTGTGTGTGCGTGTGTGTGTGTGTGTGTGTGTGTGTGTGTGTGTGTGTGTGTGTGTGTGTGTGTGTGTGTGTGTGTGTGTGTGTGTGTGTGTGTGTGTGTGTGTGTGTGTGTGTGTGTGTGTGTGTGTGTGTGTGTGTGTGTGTGTGTGTGTGTGTGTGTGTGTGTGTGTGTGTGTGTGTGTGTGTGTGTGTGTGTGTGTGTGTGTGTGTGTTTTGTCTCAGACCGCAATCGATGACGGGTAATTGGGAGTAATATGCATTGATTAATCAGGCTGCTTTAATTGGATGTTCAGTGAACATGTTCAGTAAACTGCAATACATTCTTCGCTTTCTACATAATTTCACCTGCATATCAGCTTGTACTTGGCGCGGAAATGCCAATGCAATGCAATGCAATGGACAAATGGTAGTTGCAAAATTAAATGGATGCTTCGTTTAAAGCAGAGCGGGTTTTGGAACAAAAGAAAATACATTTGAAACCCCAAAAGTAGCATATAGGACATAAACCAGAGATATATCAGGTTTTGCGGGCCTGTCGGGAAGCCCTGTCGGTTCAGATCCCACATCCATACCACCAATCGCTTTTCGGACAGTGACACAAAAAGACAAAAAGAAAGTGGAAAATAGAAAGGCAGTTTGGAAGATGACGCTTCTGAGAGGAAGCCAACAGCATCACGCCATCCGGTTATAAGTTGTGTTTAAACAACGACATGAGTTCCAACCACACCACTTGCAAACATCACGCTCTCTTGCATGCATACATTATCGTCATGGCTTCAATAGACATTACCAGCCACACAGGGCAATGAGCTAGGCCGTGCATTTCTCGGACGCCCCCGTACCGCGAAGCAACCGCCCGCAGCGCCAGGCGGTAAATCCCGACTGAAATGATTAACGGCCGAGACGGAGCTGTAATTATCCAGCTATTATTCACGCGGCGGATCAGCCAGTGACCTCGCTCAGCATAAAACGGACGAGCCTAACAGCGGTGCAGCTCCGAGAGAACCGGCACACTATCCGCATACAAAAGACGTGTGCATAGCGCTGGCGGCGCTCGCTGGCGCCGCGCCAGACCGAGCGGCGCAGCAGGGAGGCGCCGGAGCCACACAGGCGGCCCCACTGCACCGGACCAGGCGACGGCGAGAGGAGGCGACAGCGGTCGTGCGAGAGGTGACGCCGCAGCTCGCGCTAGCATGAAGCGCTGGTCGTGTCACGGGATTGTGCTGTTTGCGCTGCTCAACACCGTAACGCCAATCGAGTTCTTACACCGGTCGGGACGCTGCAGTGGTGAAGACCAACTGTGCACACCAGTTGTCGATTGTCCGGGCTACAAGACCAGAGCGGACATCCTGAACAAGCCACCGACGCCCTGTGGCTTTTCGGGCCGGACGCCGCTCATCTGTTGCGAGTCTACTGAAGCCACCTCACCGAAGCCTGTAAGCCTCACACAGCTGCTGCCGGAGGAATGCGGCAACCCTAACAGAACAATCTCTGTCTTCCGCTTCCGCCGTGACACAACGGCCATTGAAGCACATGGCTCACTTCGGGAAGACACTGACTTCTTAGGCCCTGGGACCATCCAACAAGCTGTCGGCGGCTTTAACGCTATACTCGGTAAGTGGCCGTGGATGGTGCTGTTCGGCCGGCGGACGGACGCCGGCAAGCAGGAGTGGTTCTGCGGCGGCGTCCTCATCACCGACCGACACGTGCTCACGGCCGCCCACTGCCTGCGGCCCGAGCAGACCGCCACCGTGGTCGCCCGCATCGGCGAACATGATCTCACCGCCTTCGACGACGTCATTCATCAGGAGCGTAACATCACCAGCATCGTGCGGCACCCGCAGTACCACGCCTCGCAGAACGACCTGGCCGTGGTGCGGCTGCAGTCGCCGGTGCAGCTGACGGACGCAGTGCGGCCCATCTGCCTGCCGCCGGCCGGCTCGCAGCACCACGGCCAGGACGTTGAGATGGCCGGCTGGGGCCTGGTCGAGTTCGGCGGCGAGACGGCCGACGTGCTGCAGGAGGTGCCGCTGCGCGTGGTCGACGAGGACGCCTGTGAAGACGCCTACCGCCAGGCGCCCGCGTTCAACATCACATTTCCCGGCGGCTTTCAGGGCACCAAGATCTGCGCGGGCAGCCGCGACGACAAACCACGGGACGCGTGTCGGGGAGACTCGGGGGGTCCACTGATGGTCCAGCTTCCCGACGGCTCCTACCAGCTCATTGGCATCGTCTCCACCGGTGTCGGCTGTGGCAACCCCAAATTTCCCGGCATCTACACCAAGGTGTCCTCCTATATTGACTGGATCCTCGGCAATCTTATTAAGTAGTGTGCCACTACTGGCTGTGACATTGTGTGCTAAGCCTATATATATTTTGGTGCACCAATGTGTCAAACCGTATGCCCAGGGTCTACTTAATGGTGTGAACAACAGACTGGTGATGGTTGCGCAGGATTCGAAATGCCTTAAGCCTGGCTGATCAAGCTGGCTTCAGCTTTCAAATGTTTGTGTGATACACGATAATCAACGGCGACGCATTTTCTACAGCGCGCGGTGTTGAATAACGGAGGACATAAATGAGGAAGTCGGAACTATTCAAAATGACCTGCTTTGCAACGAAACTTGGGAGTAACGTAGTGATGTCCCATTTCCACTTTCTCTCGGTGCATTTAGATCACAATCAGTCAAAATCCATCTTCCTCTTCATGTGCGATGTAATTCATGGACGACCTTTTCCGCGCGGCGGTCAATAATCTAAGCGAATCACGGCGACTCTGTGCAGTGGTACAACCCTTTTGACCCGGAAACTTGCTTCACTTCGAAACTTTACAGCAAGGTGAGCTGTTAATGGAATCACTTTTGTCGGCTGCAATGGTGCCTTTGCACAGCACACAATAACAAAATGATCTGAGCATTAGCATACTGATCAGGCAAAGTACTGTGACATTTTTCAGAAAGTTTGCTTCCTTAAAAGTGTGACCTATGTGGAGAGAATTTATTTATTATGCCATATATCTTAACGCTGGATATAAGCAAAGGTCACCTGCTCTTTGATGTGGTCACACAGAGATAATTCAGTATACCGACGACACCCACGTGCAAGTAGGTAAACTGTGGACTGAGCGGGTTCACAGGGCCAAATTGTCCGCATCGAAAGCAGCTCGTGCCTATTGATTAATGGTTCTGCGCTGTTGCCTGTTTCGCAGCCTCACTTGAGATAGGCAGAAACAAAACCTAACAAAAGCTTGCAGGTTTTCAATATCATGCGCGTCATGCACGCTTCAACACAAAAAAGCGGCAGAATGAGAGGACTCTATGTATTTCAAGCCACATGCGGTCTCATTACTTGTTCATCTAACCGAAGCGTCTGGCTGCATCCATACTATAATGCAGAGATGACCGTGATGTCCCGACACCGTGCAGATTGCATGAGTCAGCTTTGCCGCGTTGTGAAAAGTAAAAGCTCGCAGTGAGTTGCAGTAGGGTAGAAGCCGCGAGGTTCGGGGTTAAGTATTGTAGAGGCGCTGATGTCGTGGTTTAGTCCTGTCTGGTAGCTCTCAACCGATGTGCTATAATATTGTGACTGTGAATGTTGGTTTCTTTGCGGTGATGTGCTCTTTTGGCTTGTTTGGTGATAACTGGAGCTAAAACCTGTCATAAGATTGGCGAATTTTGTAGCCTGGTATATGAAATATAGCGTTAGATTTCGTGACTAAGTTGGCTGTGTTGTCATGATGACGGTCACGGTGTTTGTTGTTGTCCTCGTAACTACCTGATCTGACAACAATGACATTGACGGGAAGAGGTCTGTTTTTTCCAAACATGGTGCAGAACCCCGAGAGACTCTGAAAAGGAGGAAATCGGTGCTGATGAACTCCTCCATACGTCATCTGATACCCTTTTTGGGGATCAGATGACGTATGGAGGATTACGATACCCTTTTTGGTAAGAAAGGGTGCAGGCGGCACACCGCTCAATAAAGGACTTCCGGAGAAAAGGCACTCCGAAAAATCACCACATTTGGCCCGTCTTATTCTGAGGGGTGACAGCTTTCTTCATTTGTCATCATCATGTCGGCGAATGTGTTCGTTGATTGACCCAGTAGACTGAACACTTAGGAGAACTCTTACATTTCGTGGACAGGGAGTTCCGTAAGTAGAAGGCTAGCGAACCATTGCCTTTCCCGGTCAAGGGTTGAAGATCCACCCTGGTCGATCAGGAGGGTCGCAGAGGGATGCATCATGCATCAGTCCCCTCCCTGGCGTAGAGGGCCCTCAGACCAGAGCATTTGACTCCGGATGGACTCAATGACGCCAAAGGACCGCTTACCGACACGGGAGTCCAGTAATTGGCGGCTGACTCCAATTCGGTTTTGTCAGGCCCTGGACCGAAATGAAGTGAAAGCCCGGAACCATGTTCGCTCTCGGGCCCGTGTCTGACACAAGGTCTTTTCATTGTCTCAATATAAACCTTTTCATTGTCATTTATCTCATCTCCTTTCAGTATTAGCCGGCCCGGTCTTCATAAGAGGCTGCCTGACATTCCGGGCTATGTTCCTGTCTCTATTCAGAAAACTGGACCATGATCGACTCGGGGCGCTTGCTAACGTAAGGTCTCCTGTTGGGCGTACTGTAGCCCCCTGACCAACACAACGGTCTCTGATTGCCTTAGGGATCCCAACCAATGCAAAGGATCTTCTGACTGACAATCGCAGACCCCAGGATGGTTCCGACTTTGGCAATGGGCCTCATGCCACCACGGGGCAGACTGTTCAAAATTCATGGTCGCGGATCAACTAACGGGCCGTCATTGCCCCAGGGCCCCCTAATCGGCGCAAGAGGCCCTCTGATGGACATCTGCCAGCTGGGATTCCTTTGATGCAGCCTCTGGCCAGCTCTCCAGGCCCTCTAGTCGGGCTCTTTATCGAGGGTGGTAAAACCTGCTGACTTGGTGGATAAAGTCGGCGATAAAAATGCACACATCCACACAAAGCTTGGCGTCAAAAAGGTTTTTAGGCAGCAAATTTTGGGTGACACCCAAGACGAAAAAAATACAGCACACTATAAAACATAACTGGAGGTCTCCATACAGATATCATGCCTCCATGGTAAAACATTTCGTCACACAACACAAGCGAACGTTTACGTAGACTTGACCGGCTCTACGGCGCCCTGGTATCTTTTCTAGATTTCGTTCCAACCCGGCCACAAAAAAATCCTACGATTTTTAGTTGGTCGATGCACTCGGTGACAGATCGGCGACATATCATTATATTTCCTATGGCCCGGCCTTCTGTGGCTGGTGAGAATTTTAAATGTAGGTCGATTGTTCACAGCGCGACAGATTTTTCACACACTTTCATTTCGCTGGCGGCTTTTCAAGAGATAAGGCTTGGTGCAGCGTTACAGGTGGAAACGGATTCTTAAGCTTGAAACTGCCAAGAACAATGTGACGAAAGCCACAACATTGGAGATTCTCCTTTAACAGCAGGTCACAGCATGAAGCCCTCCTGTCATACATTCCTGGTCTGAGCCCTGCTCCCGTCCGCCGTCGCCGCCCACCGCCCGGGCCCGGCTGTCTCCCGCATGACTGATTGCGAACTGGTCGTATGGCTGCTTTGCTGCTTGTCTCTGGATCAGCATTGCTATTGTTGGTGTGTAAAACAAGTTCGACACTTGCAACAGCATCTTTTTCCCGAATTATCTTCCCTTACGCCACACCAACCCAGAAAAATCCTCCGGGAATCTGCTTGCCTTAGGTACGAATTGACCAAACGGATAGATAACTGCCCATCATTTAATGTAGACGACTTGATTTGCTTTTGTGTTTAGGCGGAGACGCTGCCAGCCTTGCTAAGGGGGAGCACAGGACTGGCAAATGCCCCACTTATGGTTTTCTCCAAGAATCCCCGGAAAAAGCTTACTTTAACATGGGGTTCGGTTTTGTTCATTTCATTGCTATTTTTACCTCGCAACCAGAACACAAACCAGGAGCTAGCGCGAGATCAATTCTGTTTAATTTTTGAGGTCAATTAACTGCAGAAATGCGGCGTTGAGCGACTGATGAAATAAATCACCGTTGCCTTTAATGAACTGTGGGGTTAAATGGCGTTAAGTGGGCTCCTTGTAAACCGATAAAACTCAGAAACGTTGTCAGAACGCTTCATCTAGGCTCTGCAGACATTAAGCATCGCGAACGTCGACTGTAGATCGATATGTTTGATGACGTGTCCTGATTGGAAAACAGTGACGCCGCTGCGGGAAGTTTGGCTGGAGAGGGATAATGAACTTTCATGGGACTCCATTAGCACAACGCAATAACGTTCCAGTCGCTTTAAAACGTCCGAGCTGTGACTGTGACTGGTGCAGATAGTGACCTAATGATCTGTTGCAGGCCGCTGAGTCACGTGCCCATTGTGACCGCGAACAGCACCACGGGTGGGGGGAGAGATGGTCGAATCTCCTAGCATCTTCAGACTCAACATCACCTCTATGGCTTTGGACGGGAAAAAAGCACCTAGTTCCTCTTCCGCCCGCGTTGGTCGCACGCTGACCCCGTTGCCGGCTTCCACTAACCCGTTTGGCGGCCTCCACTGTAACGCGGTGCATGAGCGGGCTGGCGACCACCATCAGGCTGTAGGTGTAGATGATGGCCAGGTCGACGTTGAGATAGGCCATCGTCCTGCCGCCGATCAGATGGATGTATTCCTCCACCAGTTCGGTGGCGCCGTAGTAGCCGAACTCGCCTGAGCCCCAGCTGGCGAAGACGGGCGTAAGCCGCAGCCGCCAGCCTGTCAGGCAGGAGGAGGCGTTTGGTCTAGGCGAGGGCGGGCTGCCAGACCAGAGCCAGGCCATGTAGCCACGCTGTTTGGAGGATCACGTCGTTGTTTTGGTGTGTTTTGACGGTAATAAATCCAAATGGAGGGTGGCCCAGCTTTGTTTCACACCTGAATGGTGCTCCTTTGAATTAAGCCTTTTGCTGCGCGAGCTGCTGAAAGAGCGTATCAGAATTCCTGTTTGTAGTTTGCTACATGGCAACGCATGGAAAGAACTGACCAAGAAACTGATTTTTTTGCACCCCACTTTCTGAAATGTTGGTTTCGTCTATGAATAGCAGATCTAAAGAGGATATGGATGCCGGGGCTTAGAACTGTGCGTATTCGCAAGCTGGTCATAATGCCGTACCTACCTAGCGCATTCCACTCATTAAACCTCATTGAGGCACTTGAAGTGATGTCTTTGGGTGGTGATGAAAGCTGATGTGATGAACTGATGCCGGCTGCGACGCAAATGGTGTCAGAGGATTACAAACCGGATTCACAGTACGGAATGCCGTACGACTTCGTCAGTATTTCACAATAGTGCTATAATGTTAAGTATAGTTGTAGGTCAGTTGTTTTCATGGTCTGTTTATTCTAAAAAATGATTTTAACATCCAACTCCGACGTCGTTTGGAGAAGATGTTTCCCGCCTTTCGTCCAGAAAACAAAATGAAAGAGAATGTCAAGTTTATAGCACTACGCGCAAGTATTCATCGGGAGACGCCTGCCATAACTGTATACCAAACAAGGGATCCTCAGTGTAGGGTCCTCCGCAAATGGAACAAAAGGGAAAGGACTCCAGACCAACGTCGAGGGCCCCTGAGTGTCGAGTGCCTTGGTGTGTTAACTTATATGGACCCCAACAGCAGCGTGGGCACTTCCGAGCACGTGAATAGAACGCGAAACTAACGTGAAGGGCCCGTGATTTACCGAGAGTGACCCAGCAGGTCAACCAATGGGGTCTCGGCAATAGTGTAAAGAGCCTTTTGGGCGAATGGCAATAATCCGTGGAGGGCCCATGACCAATCGGAAAGTTGACAGTTAAGGCCTAGCAACGGCGTGGGGCCCTCTGAGCAGATGCAGAGACCACAGGGGCAACGTGGAAGACCCATAAGCGATCGCATTGACCCGGTAAGTAGACATATAGTGTCAACGGCAACAGCAAAGGACTTGTAGACATCGTAATGAGCTTCAAAATCTCACCATTGACTACCCTCTTTATCAATGAAGAACTGCATTTGTCTGCTCACGGGCCCTTCACTTTTGCTTGCAGCTGTTCTTGGTTGCCTGGAGGCTCAAAGTCGCCCAATTTTATTCTGTTTTGTTTTGAAAAACTTGTTCCGGCTGGTTATGGGCACCTTTGAGGCACATGGGTCCCTTTTGGCCAAAGAGGGTCATGACCTCGTGCCCCCTGAATTTGCCACTGAAGCAGACCGACTCGTTTAATAGGTGTGCTAAGAAGGAAAAGACCGCGGCGCTAAAGAGTAAAAGATTCATCCATCCAGACGGCACACCCTGAGTGGCTTTCTGGAAGTGGGCAACTCTTTTATGGGAAGCTTTATGTTGCATGACCACAGTGCCGACGAACGTCAGCTGCATTCATCCACATACCACAATCGGCACGTATTGCATGAGGGAATTCCCGTGGACATGTAAGAAACCTGCTACCGGGAAATGGCATCAGTCTGGGCATTCCGCCATGCCGCCGTCACATGACGACCAGCCGTTGATCAGCCCGACACATGCAACGCACTACGGACCAGAGGTGCGCAGCACCAGCGATGCGTTGAAGTATAAACAATGGCTTTATACAGATGTTATATCACTGGAAGCACCGCGCCAAAGCGCTGCGGAATCTATTGAGAACATGGGCACAGAAACCCAATACAATACATCAACATAAATCTAACACACAAATTACAGGCTTGACAGGTATCACTTGTTAGCACAGACACAGGGCGCTTCCCTGAGAGGCTTGAAAGTATCTTTGTTGGAGGACGGTTTTTTTTGGTGCCGATATTTTTGTGGAAATGATCCGGTTCGGGTTCAACATGTCATTAAAAAAGATTCCGTTGGTATATTGCACAAGCAACAGCGGGTCTGCCGTTGGGCATATGAAAATGAAAGCCAGTGAAAATGTGGCAGATACAAGCTTTTAATGTCATGACCGACTGTACGCAGCCAGCACGCAGCCCATACAGTATACGCATTCCAAAACGCGGTGACTGAGTTGTTTGACAGAATAGCAGCTTACTTCGGGACATAAATTTATTTACCTACGGATCAGCTGTCCAATACACAAATATCATCACTTACTAAGCATACGCCTTTACAAAGGCAAATTTCAGCTAGACTGTTATAGGCACTTGTTCGCGACACTACGCGGAAAATAGGGCTTATGGTGGATTAAGCCGAACAGTGAAGAAATTCCCGCACCAGCCACTGCTCCAAGGCCGACGGACAGCGAGATCAGCACCCCGAGAACATGTTCGACACCTGCTGTGTCTCTCTAATCGCTTTGCAGTTTTGTCTTCTGAGCACTGGTAACAGTCTCCCGGGCTGGACCCCGCCGTCTGGCGTAGGAGGATGCTGGAAGTATGGACGGGAAGATTCGCGTGAACTGCGCTGTTTTTTTATACCCATATATTCACAGAGCAGGTGATTACCGGCACAGTAATTATAGTATGATATCCGGTCGGCCAAATTCCGAATGCTTCTGATTTGGGTTCCTCATTCAAAAGAACCCAAAACGGATTTTAACACGCGAATGACAACATCGTAGAAAAATATCCTCAAGTGCCTCGTACGTAGACGCTTAGACGTGCGTCTGTTTACCAGCATCCACACGTCATCCAAGCAGCACAGTACCTACTGCAGTGCAACACATCACAATGAAACACCTTTAAGTCTGGTCGCCATGCGTGTGAAGCTCACACGAAGCATGAACAGGTGTGAGCCAAAGACTGATTGTGACTGCAACTGTGACTGACCACACACAAACATGACCGACCTAAGGCAACGACTGCCCCTCCGCATCCACCTCCGCGCCAACCCAGACCCGGTCAGACGTCCGGCGATAAGGGGAGGGAGCCTGGGAGAGCGGCGTCGACCGCAGCGCGCCGGAGGAGCGATTCGCTGAAGGATTTAGATCTGCGCTGCCCCCCAGCTTAAAATTCGAGTCACGAATCCCAAGCCTCTTAGCGTTGCCACGTGGTCGTCCGCTTTCGCTTCCAAAGCGGATAATCCCGTTCATAAAGAGCGAAGTGAAGACCTTGCACGTGGTCTGCAATCTCCACATTCGTCGCCTTCCGCTGTAAGCAGAAAACCGTTGGCCGGTCATCGCCATGGCTGGTATTCATGTCAATTTGAAATTAACTTCAAATATGCACCCATTCACATGGTGGGCGACTATCTTTAGAGCATTAAGTAGATACTAAGCATACGGTTGGGCACGTTAGTGCACCAAACTGACATAGTCTTTGCACACCATGCCACAGCCAGTGACACACTACTCAATGAGATTGCCGAGGCCAGTCGATATAAGAAGACATTTTGGTGTAGATGCCGGAAAAATCGGGGTTGCCACAGTCGACGCCGGTGGAGACGATGCCAATGAGCCGGTAGGAGCCATCGGGCAGCTGGGCCATCAGTGGACCCCCCGAGTCTCCCCGACACGCGTCCCGTGGCTTGTTGTCGCGGCTTCCCGCGCAGATCTTGGTGCCTTGAAAGCCGCCGGGAAATATGGTGTTGAACGCGGGCGCCTGGCGGTAGGCGTTCTCACAGACGTCCTCGTCGACCACGCGCGTGGCACCTCCTGCAACACGTCGGCCGTCTCGCCGCCGAACTCGACCAGGCCCCAGCCGGCCATCTCGACATCCTGGCCGTGGTGCTGGGAGTCGGCAAGTGGCAGGCAGATGGGCCGCACTGCGTCCGTCAGCTGCACCGGCGACTGCAGCCGCACCACCGCCAGGTCGTTCTGCGAGGCGTGGCACTGCGGGTGCCGCACGATGCTGGTGATGTTACGCTCCTGGTGATGGACGTCCTCGAAGGTGGTGAGATCATGATCGCCGATGCGGGCGGCCACGGTGGCGGCCTGCTCGGTCCGCAGGCAGTGGGTGGCCGTGAGCACGTGTTGGTCGGTGATGAGGACGCCGCCGCAGAACCACTCCTGCCCGCCGGCATCCGTCTGCCGGCCGAACAGCACCATCCACGGCCACTTACCGAGTAGAGCGTCAAAGCCGCCAACACCCTGTACCTTAAACCCAGGGCCTGGGAAATCCGTGTCGTCCATAACTATATCATGTGTTGCAATGACTGTCGTGTCACGGTGGAAACGGAAGACATTGATTGTTTTGTTAGGGTTTCCGCATTCTTCGGCCAGCAGCTATGTCGGGTTTACAGGCTTCGGCGGGGTGGCTCCCGTAGACTCGCAACAGATGAGCGGCGTCCCACCCGAAAAGCCTCAGGGCGTCGGTGACTTGTTCAGGATGTCCGCTCTGGTCTTGTAGTTCGGGCAGTCGAGGATTGATTTGCACTGTCGGTCCTCACCACTGCAGCGTCCCGACCGGTGCAAAAACTCGATCGGTATTACGGCGCTGAGCAGCGCAAACAGCAAGGTCACGTGACACGACCAGCGCTTCATGCTAGCGCGAGCTGCGGCGCCACCTCTCGCACGACCGCTGTCACCTCCTCTCGTCGTCGCCTGGCCTGGCGCAGTGGGGCCGTCTGTGTGGCTCCAGCGCCTCCCTGCTGGTCCGCTCGGTCTGGCGCGGCACCAGCGGGCGCCGCCAGCGCTGTGCACACGTCTTTTCTATGCGGATAGTATGCTGGTTCACTCGGAGCTGAACCACTGGTAGGCCGGTTTGTTTCATGCTGAGCGAGAACATTTGCTGATATGCCTCGTGCAGGGCTGTATCATTACCACTCGCCCATGGACTCACACCTGGCGGACATCGACTTCGAAGAAATGCACGGCCTCGGACGATTGCTCTGTGTGACGGCTGACGTCATTTCCAACCTGATGGTCCAGTGGTGTTTGCCTCCTCTCAGGTGCCTTACTTTTTAAACTTTATTTCTGTTTATCATATTCTTTCTGTTTTATGGTGTCACCTTCCAGAAACGGCTGTGGGGGGGGGGGGGGGGGGGTCTGAGCCGACACGGCTACCTAGCCTGACCCGAAACTTGATTTCTTTCAGGATATTGTCCCCTATAAGTTGTTTGTCAGGTATTCTAATATTTTTGTTTCAACTCAAAGCAATTATGCTGCGGTTGAAGGACCCATTTCATCCTGCACTCACACTTGGCCCCTGCACCGCACTGGAATTTCATTTGTTTGCCGATTACACGCCAATGTGAAGGTACAATTACGTGAGAAACTTAGCAGCTGCATAACTTGGTGTGACTGCGTTGTGTTGCGGTTAACATCAATTGTTGCGTGGACAATAATGCAGTATATAATGCACACAATAATCGGAACAAATCACCTGCTGCGCGGGGAATCGAACGCGCGATGGTGCGACATGCGCAAATGATGCGACTGTAAATAATTTTGTAATGAAAACGTAAAACTACATGGCCCGAATGGTGATGGCTTCCTCTTAGAGGCTTCAGTTGCTAAAAACGGTGCAATGAGGCGCGGCAAGGGAAGAGGGGTCGGGCTGGTATCAGCCGGCAGGGCTTACCTAATCTGCCTTCAAAACCTGATTCCTTCCTGGATTAGCGCAGGTGTCAGTTGCGTCCCGGGATTAAAAACACGTGCTATGGAGGTAGCGTTCATTTCAATTAGCACTGACACTTGGCCACTGTTTTACATCGCACTTGCCTTCGCGTGCCAATTACACGCCGATGTGAAGCTGCAATCTGCGCGAAGCTCACAATGAGCTGTAAGCTACCACAAAACTTGGAGGTAAAACGGACTGATTTATTCAATGAAAGCTGTTCTCGTTTCTTGGTCATCAATTGCGGTCTGAGATCCAAAAACACCATCTTATTGACAAGTAGATGGTATGGCACGTGGTGCCGAGAGTTAGCGTATATTTTTTTCGTATAGTTCGATAGTAGGCTCCTGCATATAAGAGTAGTTTTGTGTAGTTTGATAGTAGGCTCCTGCATATAACGGTACATCAGGACTGGCACAAGCTCCTCAACAGCCATACTGACAACTGGAAGACAAATCACAGATAAGGCAATGGCTGGCGACCAGTGAGACTGGCTTAAAAGAGCGCGGTCGACGCTTTGCAATAGTTGAAAGTGTCTTTTCCAGAAAAAACTGTTGCTTATGTAAAAATAGTCGGTTGAATAAGATTCAAAGCAAGCTTCATCATGTTGCGATAAAACACCCAGCGATGTGGCCTGTTGTATATCTCTTGCACTATATGTGGTCAGATGGCCAAGTTTGCCATAAAATCAGGGAGAGACACTTTTCAACCCTCCAGTGGTTTTGCTGCTTACCTATACTGGGCCACAGACTGTCCTTATCCGTTCAACCTTGTTTTGACAAACTGGCATTTATGCAAAATTCATACACAAGTCGCACGAAATTGTGTAGCAAACACTCGAACCATCTTATCGTTTCGTCATTAGCCTTTTACCATGCGGAAAACCTGTGGCATTTGTGATCCACTTTTGACCTACTCCAGTTATCATCTCATGTTTTTATTCAATGACAAACAACGTCTGATTGTCAACAGTAACGACACAGTTAGGCACCAGGAAACTCGGCAGTCCGCGTAAATTTGTGATTCGGAGACAGAATCGGGAGATGTGAGCTATGCCAGCTTGACAAACGAATACTAAATCTCAGGCCTTCTCGGCGCGTCACGTGATCGTCTGCTTCCGCTTCCAACGCAAAAAATCCCGACCATAAAGAGCGAACTGATGACCTTGTTCATGGTTCGCCATTCCGGCAGCCGTCGCCTTCTGTTGTAAGCAGAAATCGTTGGCCGGCCAACGCCATTGCTGGTATCTACGTCAATGTCAGATGCGAATTATCAACTGAACTCGCGCAGCCTTCCGGCGTTCTTTCCGAAGCAGACTACATGCGCTCGAGTTTAAGAAACAGACGCCGACCTTAATGTCAGCTCTAGTCACTTCCCGACAGAGAACACTCTGGCTATGCCCCGCGTACCCTGCTTTCAGCGCACCGACGATCGTCTCCATCCCCGAAACGTCAGCCGCATCCGACACAGCCGTCCACCAGTGGCGGAGCGCAGGTGACGCTGCCCATGGCTAAGACTGGGAGCAAGTGACGCTGTCTATGCTTCAGGACTCGCAGCAGGTGGCGCCATCTAACGGCAGAAGCGCGCAGCAGACTGCGCTGGAGAACCCGCACGTCAGCGCCTGCGAACCATCAGCGGCATCCACGACCAGTCAAAGTCGCAGGCCGTGTAGAACAGTCTGGTCTTCTGACATGGGTGCCCCTTCAACACAGCAGCGGGCAGATCATCTGGCGCAGATGAAGGCGGCGTTAACGCGTGTGTTTGATGCATCCACACTCCGCAAGACGGCAGGCAGGCCAATGAAAATACATACTCGGTGCGGCGCGAAGCCAGTTAAACTGACCACTGCACGCAAGATCCCGTTCGTGTGGCCAGACAATGTAAACCGGCAGCTGGACCGGCAGCTAAACCGGATCTCGAGGCCAATTGTATTATCGTTCCCGTGTATGAGCCTAAAACGTGGTGTCATGCCATATTGGTTGTACGAAAGAAGAACTGTGAATGTGTTCGCATCTGTTGCGGCCTGACCAAGCTGAACACGCACGTCAAGAGAGGGCCTCATCCAGTTTGCCCAACGTACGATGCCTGGGGTTTTCGTTTTTCGAGGCTTTGCTCATCGCTCTATCTCTCCAAAAAACATTTACGCAAATCGACGCTCTTTAAAAGGCAACTTGGCAACAACATCGGAAAAGGCAACACAATTGATAAAAAGGCTGAACACTTCCCAATAAGTGCTTTCGTTGCGAATCTTTTTATGGCCCTGGTCAGTGGGCTGCTCAAATAAATCACTATTTGCTAACTAACTCAGAAGTATACAACATAAAGCTTGTTTGATCAATTTTAAAGTAAAATATAAAGCTTGCCTTTCGTAAAACTGGAATAGACCAACTCCATTCCGACACGCTTTTAAAGAGGGCTAGGTTGTTGGGCTTTTGTTCAGCCCTCTCTCTCCCCAAAACCATTTACACAAACTGACGCCCTTCGAAAGGCAACTTGTATTGACACCTTTAAAGTTGGATGACATCCAGGTTCGCAGTAAACGTTGAGAGAAGTTGTAAACACAGATGCATTACAGATAAGAAATGCCTGCATTATGCAACGTCCCGACAGATCAGTACATGCTACACCGTTACTATACAAGTAAGCGACATGGAATGATATACGTATCATCATAAGTGGTTTAGACAGAGGCTCCTATGAACGCACCCGGGCTGCAAAGTAACTGTACGTACCTGCAACATCTTAACGCAAGGCCCGTAAGCCACACTCGCCTCAGATACTGCCGCAAGCTTAAATTATGCATGCTTGCACGTATGTAATGGCATTCACGCCGTGGAAATTACGTTGCTGGGAGCTTATGTAAATGCGCCTTGTGTTACCCGTGTGACGCATACACTTACAGGTTGTCTGTGAGGCTGTGACAAAAGTATCTCCGCACAGGATGTTAGCCAGCTTAGCGTCGGATTTTCCCTCTTGCCAGTGGAGGCTTCATGGAAAAGGTGGGGTCGCCTTAATCGCCACTCAGAGCCGCCTCAATCCCCGGTCAGGGCCGCCGCAGTCCCTGACCGGATTCGCCTCAGTCCCTGGTCGGGGCCGCCTCAGTCCTCATCCAGGGTCGCCTCCGTCTTTGGCCAGGGTCGCCTCAGTCCTCATCCAGGGCCACCTCCGTCTCTGTCCAGTGTCACCTCCGTCTCTGGCCAGAGTCGCCTCAGTCCCAGTCAGGGTCGCCTCAGTCCCTGGTGAGGTCCGCCTAAGTCCCCAGCAAGGGCCCGCCTTAACTCTGGTCAGAGTCACCTCAGTCCCAGTCAGGTCGCCTGAGTCTCTGGCCAGGGGCACCCCAGTCTCTGGCCAAAGTCGCCTCAGTCCATGGTCGGGGTCGCCTGAGTCTCTGGCTAGGGTCACCCCAGTCTCTGGTCGAAGCCGCCTCAGTTTCTGGTCAGGGTCTGGTCTGGCTCAGTCTCTGGCCAGGGCCGCACGAAATGACTTGGGTCGGCCAGCGATGCCGCGGCGCCGTTCACCACAAAGATGGCGGCGGCTAGGGCGCGACGCACGCACTGCCAGAGATCGGGCTGCTCCGACTGCTCGCTGACCTGCAGCAGCGTCTCTACCACGTCTGGGAACAGCACGCCGTTGTACTCGTGGTCCGGGTCTGTGCCGAACACGGCGTTCCTGCCAACGCGGAGACAGGCGTCAGCTGTCTCAACATATGCCCATATCGAAAGCCGCATGCTTGACACATTGATACGGTGACGTTACCCGGGGGGCTGTCGTCAGGAGGTGACGTAATAACTGAGACCAGGCTAAGGCAGTGACGTCGATCGAGGAAGACGGGTGGTGACGTCATTCACTGGCACGGCCTCAGACGCTGACGTCATTGGCGGGACTGGGCTCAGACGCTGACGTCATCCACGCTGACACTGACTGGCGCTGACTGAGCCATGGTAGAAAACAACGTGCGTCAATGAGGCATATAACGGTTACGAGATAACTTATCGAAACGCATGGAATTATCGGTTCCCGTGTGGAAGTGTGGTACAGCATCGCTTAGCTCACCGGTTTTGTTCATCGACCAGAAGACCGTTTGGATCGACAAATGATCTCTCGACGCCGACCATCTGATCGTTGATCTGTCGAAGCTCCAGATCACTGGAACACGTGAAGGTGAGCTGTGAATTGCCAGGGGAACATGTTTAAATCCGATTAGGTGTAAATGAACATAATATTTTACGAGCGAATCTTCCGAATAATCTGCAAAAACATTGTCGCTGAGCCTGAACACCAGTGGTACACCGTTCGGAGGGAGTTAAAAGCGCACATGCATTCACCTTTCCCATCTTCACTCGACGTCATCAAGTGGTGCAGACAGTGCAGGGAGGGGGGTACAGCGGCATCTGCCCCCCCCCCCCCCGCCCGCCCCTTTAGGTCTCGAGGGGTCCTCGAGACTGGCGACTGAGAGCCCGGTTTCTGGGCCTGAGGGGCTGGCCGGAGGTCGTATTAAGGGTGATAGCCCTGCGGGCCGGGCTCCCAAATTTAAATCAGAGGCCCCTTTGCGCTGATTACGCTCTTCCCCCTGAGTAGGTGAGGCCCACTTTGTCGACCAGGCATTATCAGTACCGAACTGTCGGTTCCGATTCATTCTGGGCCTGAAGGCCCATTTCCCAAGCAGGGATAAGGATAGGACCCATGATTTACATTGACCGTTGTCGCTCAGTAGGTGAGAGATATCCCGTATCGGCCAAGGCCCACAGTGCCTCACAGGTGGCCCTATGCTGAAAAGAAACCTGATCGGACCAGGGACAGTGTTTGGAGAGTCCTAGAGGCCCCTCAGTATGGACGATTCAGGGCCTAATTTGGAAGCTGAAGAGTCAAAAAGGCTGGCTGTAGGCCTCATTAAGGGTTCCGGTCCGTTTGGCCGGGACCACATTTACGCCATTTACGAATCACGTAACTTGTTCAGTGCATTATGGATCGTGTAAACGACACCATCTGTTATGTCAGTGTCATATGGCAAGCAGCTTCTTTCATAACCAATGCATTTATGAATAATAACGCGCATTGGTTCCGAAAATAAGTATGAATACCAAGATTTGCTTTCAATGGTCAATCTCAGCCATAAAACTTTAAAAAGCAGATCGTTTCCATTCAACATTTTGACCGAACGGCGGAATGCAATACACGTAGCCCTCAAAAAACGCCGTCGGATGCACCTACCTATAATCGGTGCGTGAGATGATCTTCTTGTGAAACCGCTGTGCTGCAGTCACGTACCGCTGCACGGCCCGCTCCAGACCGCCTATGAACACGCCGAGACATCAATCACTGGCTGGACAGGAACATTCCCCACTGACCGCATAGACAGGTCAGTTGCTGGCTGGGCCACCATCAGCCACTGGCTGGGCAGACAAACCAGTTAATGGTCCGGCCGCACATCAGTCACTGGCCGGACAGACAGACCAGTCGCTGGCCGGGAAACACATCAGCCACTGGGTTGACGGACAGAGGCCGGACCTCTGGTTGCCTGTTTTGTACCTATCAACGATACAACTGAGCCAGCAGTGTCAACACCCCACACCCTGAAGCTCCGACAACCCAGCTTACCCGAGTTCGACGGCATGATTCACTCATCACCGGTCGCTGGCTGCGGGCAGGCTCAGCCAGCGTTACCCACCGAGCGACACGTTGTGCCGGTCCATCAGCTGGCCGTAGCTCCGTCTGATGTGGTCAAGGCCCAGCCGGAGAGGCTTCTCCACGTCGCGCACGTCTATGGGCAGCAGCGGCTGCTGGGCCAGGCGCTGGGCCAGCACGGCCCACAGCCGCCCCAGCGCCTGGTGATACACGAACTCCGGGTCCAGGTGCGCCATGGCCGAGAACGTCTCGTACACGGTGTGGTAGAGCGGGAAGTCGTTCCAGCTCCAGCGTGCCTGTCCATGCGGGTCGGAGCCGCGGGTGAGTGGTCGCTCGGCCCACGCTCCCACTCTGCCCGGCCCAGGTCTCCGGCCATGCAGCGCATGCTGCCGAGGTAGTTTGCACATCTGGCCGACGCCGACGCAAACACAGCGGTGCTGGTGAGCTGACATCATAACTGACATCTGGATTCCACCTGACATCGAAATACATGCTGGTTATTAAGCCCAGTTGTGATAATGCCATGGCGTGCTGGAACAAGTGTGCTCACACTAGTCCTCATCCACCGAAAAATGTCCAAGGACCAAGGGGATTTAAAGGGCAGAAAACCTAACTAAACGCAATGTTATCTGATGTCCATATCAGAAACACAATATCAAGCAATTTGGGGTTTTATGCCAACCAAAGACATTTTCTGTGTGTTGGTTCCAACAAGAAACAATAAACATCTTACATTCATGTTCCGGGCGGCGCAATGTAAGACAGTAAACCTGTCATATGTAAACCAATGGCGTTAGCTCAATGCACCACAACCCTATGTGATAATGCGATATCACAAAAACATGCCGTGTATGTGCTACACGCATTTAACGAATGCTGTCCACCGAAAACTGCCAAGCAAGCTACTACCAATATGCTTAATTCCGACAATGTACAACTCGAGCGTTTACTCGGGATTCCGAAACGTGTTAAGCCTTTCAGTTTAATAGTCCACGGTGAAAACGGCTGCCTTGCAGCCGTCCCGCCTCACAGTACGTACCGCAATTAACAGACGCCTTTGATTATTACTCATACTGCATCTGACGCCCAGCTCCATTTGCAAGTGCTTCGCGAGCCGCACATCGGGCTTACAAAGTCGATTTCCCACATCATGTAGACGATGGGCGTGCCGAGCATCTGGTAGAAGGACCAGTGCTCGCTGGGTGAGCCGAGGCTGTAGCTGAAGAGGTTGCCCTTCTCGCGGCCACGCCAGTGGTCGTACAGCGTGCTGAAGCCGAGAGCCGGCTCCGGGGCGGTCACCTGCGGCACGGCCGGTACCGGGTCACTTACCGGACACCAGCCCCGACTTACCGGAACAGCGAGCGCGGATCTGGGGCGACTGCGGGATCTGACAACAGGTCGGGTCCATCACGCCACATCTGCAGCTTGGACCTGACATCCTGACACCAAGTCCGGTCCGCCACTCGGTGTCAGCAGCCTGGACTATCCCGGTCGGTGCCACTCAATGCCAACGACTGGTAGCCGCACAGAAAACGCGTCGGTTATGTCTCCGTTTGTTGGTTTCGCGACAGTTGCAATCAGTTGGACGTACAGCTTCCAGTCGCTCTTTTCTCACCAGGTCCTGTAGTAATGTGCGTAAGGTGTTGCATCGTTGTTGCGGATCCGCATGCATGGTTAATACGTATGTCGTTGTCGTATCAAGTCGCGCGATTGCCGTGACGCATAAATTAACGGCAGCTGTCACGTGACCTTGTCACCCAGGCCGTGCATTCCTTAAATAGTGGACGCTCCCGTCCCACGAAGCATCCGCCAGCAGTGACAGACGGTAAAACCCCGACAGGAATGGCTGGCAGCCGAGAAGGAACGGGTTTTATCTAGCCATTTATCTCGGCCTATCAGCGAGCGCTCTCGCTCAGCGTGAAACGAACAGGGCTACCTGCGACGCACCTCCGAGCGAACCAGCACACTATCAGCATACAAAAGACGTGTGCACAGCGCTGGCGCGTCGCCCGCTGGCGCCGCGCAAGAACGAGCGGCGCAGCAAGGAGGTGCTGCTCATTATTTGGGATCAGAAACGGATCTAGATGGTCTGGAGGCTATATTTGGTTCGAACCATTTGCCCATACTAATACCTTTCATCACCTAGATAGGCTAGCATTATGCACATTTCACAATCCAATCTCTTGTTCAGTGCCAAGACAAGCCTGCCACCTTCCAAAAAGCAGATGTAGATCATGTTGATCTTACACATGGTTGGAGCTAAAACCCTGAGAAAAAAATCGACTATATGTCTCAGTCGCCATTTTGACATTGCTTGCTTATTGCCTTGCTCCTCCCTAATTTAAGCATGAATTAAAGCTGCAGGAAAAAAACATGCTTTAGCTACATATTTCAGCCTTTTGAACATTTAGATGGTTTTAATCATTTGAGCATGAATAATTTAACATGCGCCCGGGTGGCCGGCTAGATACCCTTCGCTCGGATGGGGGGAAGTCAATTGACCCCTCCCCCCCCCCCTGAAATCTCGAGAACTATGAGAGCTAGAGACACCAAATTCACAGGGCATCTTGACCTGTACGTGAACTAAGTTAGGTCAAGTTTGACCTTCCTAGGTCATTACCTTCGGGTCAAATGAGGTCAAACACTATGACTTTCTATAAGCAAAAGGTCACATGCACATTTAAGGTAAGTAATCTTGTTTGGCCTTTTGAAGGTCATGGTGACCAAAGTCATACAAGACTGGTCTGAGTATTGCATTTGAATAAGCGACAAAGTCCAAGGCTAGACAGCATGCTACTAAAGACCAAATGTTGACATGGGTCACTTTAGGCTAATCACTTATTCTGACCTTTAAGAAGTCCATGGAAGATGCAGAGTGCGGTTCGTGCTATTAATTAGTCCGAAATGAGCACTAGAAACTATCCCATTCAGTGAGCCTTAGAGTAATAAAACAGGTTGGCATTGACCTTGGTCTGACCTTTAAACCTGACCTTAGGTCAATGCAATCTGCTCACTCAGTTCTTGCACTATCTAAGAAAGCATTGCAGAAACGTATGGCTTCGTCTAATAGTCCTTTGTTGTACCAGATTAAGCGGTTCCCTTGAAATTGACCTCGCTAAAGCCATGGCCTGACTTTGACCTGCCATAGGTCAGCGACCTTACAGAGTACATTCAATTTTTTCACCGAGCGATCCCCTATTTGCCTACAGCTGTACCAAATTTGGGGCGGCTATGCCGCGCCGTTTGGAAACCATTTTGGAAAAACCTTGGGGGGGTGAATTTGACACCCCCCACCCGAGCGCGAGTTAGTAAAGGATTTTATCATGCAAATAAAACTGCCCATATGCTTAAATGGTTTCTTTCAATAACTTGACCATGGTTTTATCAGTGCTGGCTTCATCTCCGAATCACCTGAGATATAATTCAGCCAACCATAAAATTAATTATCTCTCTCTACATTGATGCGCATAACAAGGACAGAACTTTTAAGTAGTGTCCAGTAAAATTACTCTTCTGGTGTTCCCTGTAGCCTTTTGCCCTGCTTTCAGTCACAAGCATTGATGCGAGCAACATATAGTGACAAAACTGTGTAAAAAGGAGTCACAATCATTGATTTGGCTTGCTGGTGAATAATCACTTACGACAATGATTCATGGTCACTCAATGTACGCTTGAAGTAACGAGTTCCATTGTTCCACTGTTCACTACCAGCGGTGATCTTGATAAGCTGTCCATTAAAAGGCCGTCGGCTGGAGTAAAATAACGTTGTGTTCCTTGTTTGGCAGGCTGTTTTTATCTGTTTGAGAACATCTACACTCATTTTTTAGAGCAAGTGCCCACTGTCTTAATGCAAAGTATTAACTCCAAAATCTGACATCGAGTTCGACGGTTTTTCTGGGTTCGTTACCGTTCACTCAGTTTTCTCAGGTGGATGAAACAACCCGGGCGCCAGCCCGTTCGTCGCTACATTCCGCCATTTGCACGGAACGCAGGAGGAACATCGCAAGGCTGGGTCCCAATCCATCCTCACTGTGGGTCACAGTCGCTGTCAGCTTGGTGCCGATGGCACGTGTAACACCGGCAGCACCGAGGTGCTCGATATTCTGGACGAATTCCGGCCGGGGCTGTCTTCGTGGTCGCCAACGCAGTTTGCTATTCCACCGTGTTCGTCGTCCGAGGGGCATTGGACAGAGCAGGCTGCAGCACCTGCTAAGAGGCACTGGTGAGCCGCCTGGAGCACGACGGCCCCACGTCCTTAAGTCACCGTCTGTGACTGAAAAATCGCAGTGGGCTGATGAATCTCTCCGCAGCAGCAGTCAAAAGGTGGTCCTGAGTGGTGAGCAGGAGCTCAGTCGCTAGATTGTGCAGCTGGACGCGGTTTGCTATGCAGTGCCCTAGTGGATGCTGAGGAGCGCGGTTTGGGAAAGCACCGCAACGAGCTGATCAGGATTCTGATGATCACCTACCGACGGCTGTGTCTTCATCACCAGGCGAAGTTGCACAATGCACGCCTGCAGTGGAATAGGATCCACATAAAAAATGACTGAAGCAGTGCTGTTTAGGGGACAATAGACTTCCTGTAAACTCTGATATCCTATCTTCCTTTGTCGGGTGACATAACTAGCAAATACTCCTTTTCCCTGCTATTTGATTAGGCTCCTTTTATGCGTGAGCTGGGCTTTCGTAGGAAGAAATGGTAATATTCTGATGCGCAGTGTTGAAGTAAATCAATTTTTTTTTTGACGTTTCATCAATGTTTCGTATCAGTTATCTGTATAATTGTTCGTAACTTAATTCAGTTTTACTGTCAGTTCCCAGAAAAGAGTGCGTGAATCTCAAACATTATTCTGAGAAGATGTTTGTGGCGTCTCGTGACGGTCTGGTTCGTTGGATATTCTTTTTCCTGTTATTTCTCCGATAATCGTTGTTGTGCAAGTAGCTAGCTGGCCTTGAGTGCTCATAACGATGATTAGAAACTGGTTGAAAAGTCCCTGACCTGGCCGGGTGCCTGCTCAAGCGCTTAATTTATCTGAGCGTGGCAGGTACTTGTGCTCTTCATCTGTCTGTGAGGACCGTGGAAATGGCGAAGGCAGCGGTAGGCAATATCACGCCCCGCACGATGCAGATTCGGCAACGACTTATACGTCGGCGCCACACTCGCGGCTGCCGACCTGTGGACACCGGCAGCATCACAGCGACAACAGATGTGCCAACGTCCATCCCCCCCCCCCCTCCCCCACAGCAGTATCGAATATTGCACCCCTGGAAACCCGCTACGGAATCCGCACAACGGCGGGTGAACCCTACAGCACTTGTCCCACGAGCGCCAGGAGGAACGGTAGTCCCGCCGACGCTTGGCGTGAGCGCGGCGGAGCCATCTGGGCCAGCGGCAGGGCAGTGGCGATCGTCATCAGGGGTGGGCCCACGCTCCACAGGTTTTCCGAACGGATGTTGCCGCACACTTCGGATACAACTGCAGCCGCCTCCCATGGAATTCTAGAGTAGACAGATAAACAACAAGATAGCGGTCCCACCATCGCTCAGTATGAGCACGGCGGACCTTCCCTGCAGGCAGCGGTTGTGGAGGTCGGCGGCGGGGATTTCTCCATACAGATAACTCATTGATAAGCGAAGTACAAGACCTAGATGGTTCAGGATCGTTGACATATGGCCTTATCTTGTTATGGCCTTATCGCAGCGTCCATCCAACAAACTGTCGGCGGCTATACCTTCAAAACCATTTCCATCTTTAATCTTTGCTTCCGCGATATTGCACAGCGATTTTCTCGCTCCATACGTTGCGACGGCCTTGCCAAAGCGAGTCTATGTTTCTGGTCGACGAACATGGCGGACGGCTCCACCTACCAACAAGCGGACCACTCCATTCACCTGTCCTTTCTAGTCCGCATATCTAGGACCAGAACAATTGCTGTCCCCGTTTCCGCCGTAAAGCAAAAGCTATTGAAGCACACGACACACTTCTGGAAGACACGGAGTTCTTAGGCCCTGGGTCCATCCAACAAGCTGTCGGCTGCTTTAACACTATTCTCGGTAAATGGCTGTGGATGGTGCTGTTCGGCCGGCGGACGGACGCCGGCAGGCAGGGGTGGTTCTGCGGCGGCGTCCTCATCACCGACCGACACGTGCTCACGGCCGTCCACTGCCTGCGGCCCGAGCAGGCCGCCACTGCGGTCACCCGCATCTGCGGTGATGACCTCACAGCCTTCGGAGACGTCGGCCACCATGAACGCCACATCGCCAGCATCGTGCGGCACCCGCAGTACCGTGCATCAATAATAATGCATCCGGTTTCCTGTTTTGCTCATCTGTATGTTGTCAGCGGTTAAACGGCGGAGGTGGAGTACCGTAGTTAAGGGCGAACCACCGTTTACCTGGAGACGGCCGTCCTTGGTGTCTGGTCGGACCTACCACCCGCCAGTACGTCGGTCACCACCTTTATCCTAGCCCTGTGGCTCGCAAGTGTGTGTTGATGTCGGGTGCACAGGAGTAATAACGAGCCGAGTCGTGCGTGTAATGTCATCTGGCTCGTGTGCTGGCCAATGAGCTGTTCGTTATAAATTGGCTCTGGTGAGGAGGCATGATAGCGGCAGCAGGCGACGCAGAACATCAACGATCGCAGCGCGCGGACCTTTCTCCCTTTTTTGAATTTTCTGCGGTAGAGGAGGGAGCTGGCGACCACGTGACCTAGTTAGAAGACAAGGGGTTTGAGACTCGTTTTTCAAGGTCGAACATATGCGCGGTGTATTTATTTCCGTACCCGTTTGAGTAAAAGATGGCGGATGTGGTATCATAATTCAATATGCAAACTCTGTCGCCGAATCACAACTTTACAAGGCTTTTGGGCTGTGACATGCATTCTGTGCGACTGTTTAGTCCTTGGGATTAGTCAAGTATAACTTATTTTGCATGAAACCATTGATATTGATTGTGATAGACGAAAAACGGATGCCGAAGCCAATTTCTTTGCGTGTGGGACACAAGAGCGATTGTGATGCAATATGATACTTCCATTGTTGCTGGCACAAATTGGTGCGAATCGTAATATGTACTGTGCGTAAAGGTCAATTTGTAGGAACAATGTTCAACGGATCGGTTTTGTCCAACGTCAGGTTTAAATAAGCAACAAAACCGATGGAAGGGTGAAAAATGTCCGTCGCTGACTTCATGCCAAATTTGGGTTACTGAGTATATATGTAGCACAAGAGATATGCTGCAGCCCACAACGCTGGGGTTTTGATAGCAAACGTGCTGTGAAGCTTGCTGTGCACTCTATTCGAAGAGGGTTTTCTTATATAACCAACAATTTATTTTTCTCGGAAGGACGTTTCCAACTCAAGACAAAGCGCTGGTCGCGCTCTCTTAAGGCGGCCACACTGTTCACAAGCCTTTGTCTTAAAACTCCTTCCAGTAAGCAGCATGCCTGCTAAGGAACTTGTGTCAGTCGTGATGCACTATTACATGCAAGAACCTTCTATCACTCTACACAAAACAATGTCCATTAACTCTCGGCCGCAGGTACCAGGCCATGAAATTATCATTATCATTGTTTGTGGTTTTCTGCCTCGGACTACCACCAATGATTGAAAAATAAATAATTCAATGAATAATTGAGGGTGAATAAAAAAATAATTTCATCGATCAATCAGGCTGCTTTACTAACAGATTGTTTAGTGAACAGCAATATATTCTACGTTTCTCACATAACTGCACCTGTACGCCAGCGTGCAATTGACATGGCAATGGTAGTACAATGCAGCGCAATGGACAAACGATGGTGCAAAATGCAATGAATGCTTCTTCTAAGGCAAAGCTAGTATCCGAACGAAATAAAATATATTTGGAACCCAAACACGTAACATATGGAGGGTAGATCAGGGAGACATCAGGTTTTGGGGGCAGCGAGGGCAGCCCTGTCGCATCAGACCCCACAACCATCCCACCAATCGCTTTTTGACAGTGACACCAAAAGATAGAGGGAAGTGAAAAATAGAAAGACAGTTTCGAAGATGACGCATCTGAGAGGAAGCGAACAGCATCGCGCCATCCGGTTATAAGTTGTGTTTAAACAATGGCATGAGTTCCAACCACACCACTTGCAAACATCACGCTATTGTGTATGCATGCATTATTGCCATGGCTTCCATAGACATCAACTGCCACACAGCGCAATCAGCTAGGCCGTGCATTTGCTGGACGTCCCCGTTCGACGACGCAAACGTCCGCAGTGCCAGGCGGTAAATCCCGACTGAAATGGATGGCGGCAGAGGCGAATCGGTACTTATCCAGCCATTATTCACACGGCCGATCAGCCAGTGACCTCACTCAGGATAAAACGGACGAGCCTAACAGCAGTGCAGCTCCGAGTCAACCAGCGGACTATTGGCATACAAAATACGTGTGCACAGCACTGGCGGCGCACGCTGGTGCCGCGCCAGACCGAGCGGCGCGGCAGGGAGGCGCTGGAGCCACTCAGACGGCCCCGCTGCGCCAGGCCAGGCGACGGCGAGAGGAGGTGACAGCGGTCGTGCGAGAGGTGGCGCCGCAGCTCGCGCTAACATGGAGCACTGGTCGTGTCACGTGACCTTGCTGTTTGCGCTGCTCAGCGCCGTAACAGCAGTCGAGTTTTTGGACCGGACTGGACGCTGCAGTGGTGAGAACCAACAGTGCACACCAATCCTCGACTGCGCGACCCACAAGACCAGAGCGGACATCCTGAACAAGCCAACGACGCCCTGTGGCTTTTCGGGCAGGACGCCGCTCATCTGTTGCGAGTCTATTGAAGCCACCACGCCGAAGCCTATAATCCCAACACAGCTGCTGCCGGACGAATGCGGAAACCCTAACAGAACAATCACCGCCTTCATCCGTTTCCGCCGTGACACGACAGTCATTGAAAAACATGACCCACTTCTAGATATTACGGAGTTCTTAACACCCCAACAAGCTGTCGGCGGCTTCGACGCCATACTCGGCAAGTGGCCGTGGATGGTGCTGTTCGGCCGGCGGACGGACGCCGGCAGGCAGGAGTGGTTCTGCGGCGGCGGCCTCATCACCGACCAACACGTGCTCACGGCCGCCCACTGCCTGCGGCCCGAGCAGGCCGCCACCGTGGTCGCCCGCATCGGTGATCATGATCTCACCGTCTTTGACGACGTCATTTACCAGGAGCGTAACATCACCAGCATCGTGCAGCACCCGCAGCACCACGCCTCGCAGAACGACCTGGCGGTGGTGCGGCTGCAGTCGCCGGTGCAGCTGACGGATGCCGTGCGGCCCATCTGCCTGCCGCCGGCCGGCTCCCAGCACCACGGCCAGGACGTTGAGATGGCCGGCTGGGGCCTGGTCGAGTTCGGCGGCGAGACGGCCGACGTGCTGCAGGAGGTGCCGCTGCGCGTGGTCGACGAGGACGCCTGTGAAGACGCCTACCGCCAGGCGCCCGCGTTCAACATGACATTTCCCGGCGGCTTTCAGGGCACCAAGATCTGTGCGGGCAGCCGCGACGACAAGCCACGGGACGCGTGTCGGGGAGACTCGGGGGGTCCACTGATGGTCCAGCTTCCCGACGGCTCCTACCAGCTCATTGGCATCGTCTCCACCGGTGTCGGCTGTGGCAACCCCGATTTTCCGGGCATTTACACCAAGGTGTCTTCCTACATTGACTGGATCCTCGGCAATCTTATTGAGTAGTGTGCCACTACTGGCTGCGGCATTGTGTGCTAAGCCTTTATCTTTTTGGTGCACCAATGTGTCGAACCGTATGCCCAGGGTCTACTTAATGGTATGAACAACATACTGGTGATTTCTGGCATACTGGTGGTTGTGTAGAATTCGAAATGACTCAAACCTGGCTGATATCAAGCTTGCTTCAACTTTCAAATGTTTGTGTGATACACGATGATCAACGGAGACGCATTTTCTACATCGCGCGGAGTTTAATAGCTGAGGACATAAAAGAGGAAGTCGGAACTACACAAAATAGCATGATATGCAACAACATTTGAGAGTAACGTAACGTTATGCAAACTCCTCTTTTCCTCGGTGCGTTTAGGTCACAACCCATCAAGATCCATTTTCCTATCTATGTGCGACGTAATTCATTGACGATCCTTTGCACGCGGCGGTACATAATCCAAGCGAATCACGCAGACTGTGAGATGGTACAGCCGTTTTGACCTGGGAATGTTTTCATCACTTGAGATAAGAGGAAACAACCTTCACAAGAGCTCGCAGGTTTTGAGCAACATCCGCAGTGCACGCTTTAACACAAAGAAGGCAGTCTAATGAGACGACTCTATGCATTTCAAAAACATGTGGGTTCATTACTTATTCATTTAAACGAAGCGTCTGGCTGTACCCATACTATAATGCAGAGATGACCGCGATGCCCCGACACCGTGTAGATTGCACGCGTCAGCTTTACCATGTGCTGAAATGTAAGAGCTGGTGGTCAGCTGCAGTGTGGTAGAGGGCGTGAGGTTCGCGGTTAATTATTGTAGAGGCGCTGATGTCGCTGTTTAGTCCTGTCTTGCAGCTCACAACCGATGTGCTGTAACATTGTGACTGCGAATGTGAATAACCTTGCAGTGATGTGCTCTCTTGATTTGTTTGATGATGATTAAAGCTAAAACCTGTCATAAGATTGGTGAATTTTGTGGGTTCGTATGCAAAATATAGCGTTAGATTTCGTGACTAAGTTGGTTGTGTTGTCATGATGACGGTCACGGTGTTTGTTGGCTGTGCTCGTAGCTACCTGATTTGACCACAATGACATTGGCGGGAAGAGGTCTGTGCTTTCTAAACATGGTGCAGAAACCCGGGGACTCTGAAAAGGAGGAAATCGGCGCTGAAGGACCCCTCCATACGTCATTTGATACTATTTTAGGGTATCAGATGACGTGTGGAGGATGACGATGCTCTTTTTGGTAAGAAGGGGTGCAGGCGGCACACCGCTTAATAAAGGGCTCCCGATGAAAAGGCACTCTGAAAAGTCATCCGATTTGGCACGTTTTATTCTGAGGGGCACCAGCTTTCTTCATTTGTCATCATCATGTCGACGAATGCGTTCGTTGAGAGACCCAGTAGAATGAACACCTAAGAGAACTGTTAGCTTTCGCGGACAGGGAGTTCCGTAAGTAGAAGGCTAGGGAACCATTGACTTTCCCGGTCAAGGGCTGAAGAGCATGTCCGCATGTTCCACCCCGCCATCCGGGGTACTTGCCGGCTACTATTTTGGAGGCACGGTGGCTGGGCACCCTGGTCGATCAGGAGGGCCGCAGAGGCATGCATCATGCATCAGTCTCCTCCCTGACGTGGAAGGCCCTCAGACCAGAGCATTTGACTCCGGATAGACGCAGGGAGCCTCATTGACGTTAAGGGATCGCTTACCGACACGGGAGTCCAGTAAGTGGCGGCTGGCTCCAATTCGGTTTATCAGGCGCTGGACCGAAATGGTGCGAAGACCCGAGGCCATGTTCGCTCTCGGGCCCGTGTCTGACACAGAGTCTTTTCATTGTCTCATTATAAACCTTTTCATTGTCATGTATCTCATCTCCTTTCAGTATTAGCGGGCCCGGTCATCTTAAGAGGCTGCCTGACATTCCGGGCTATGTTCCTGTCTCTATTCAGAAAACGGGGCCATGATCGACTCGGGGCCCTTGCTAACGCAGGGTCTCCTGTTAGGCGTACTGTAGCCCCCTGACCAACACAACGGTCTCTGATTGCCTAGCTCTCCAGGCCCTCTAAACTGGCTCTTCATTAAGGATGGTAAAACCTGCCGACTTGATGGATAAAATCGGCGATAAAAATGTACATACCCACACAAAGCTTAGCGCCAAACATGTTTTCAGAAAACAAATTTTGGGTGACAGCCAAGAAAAAATACAGCACACTATGCAAAATATAACATGAGGTCTCTATGCAGATATAATGCCTTCATGGTAAAACATTTCGTCGCACGACACAAGCGAACTTTTCCGTAGACTTTACCGTGCTCTACGGCACCATGGTATCTTTCCTAGGTTTCGTTCCAACCTGCCGACAAAAATATCCTATGATTTTTAGTTGGTTGGCGGACTCGGCAACAGGTCAGCGACATATTTTAGTTGGTTGGCGGACTCGGCAACAGGTCGGCGACATATCAGTGTCTTTCCTATGGCCCGGCCAGTCTGCCGTTCGGCTAATTTTAGCAGCCGACCTTCAGTGTCCCGAACTAGACCATATAGAGTACTGCAAAAATCTAGATACGGAGATTCATCTGGCCGCAAGAGCATGTTTCAGTCATTGCAATGCGACCGATAAGCGTTGGGCGGTGACTTTCAATGCACTGCAGTTTTGCAAGTGGCATTCGCATTGTAGTGTCATGAATACTAACTAGGGTTTAATTTTTGACCTTATTTATTTCGTTGGCGGTGCCGCGATTCAGCATCCTGTCCTCCGCGACGAGAGGCACTGACAGCTCAGGGTATGCCGGCGGGATGATCCAATCACGGTCATAGACGCAGGAACGCTTCAAAAAAGGGGGGCAAGCTCAGGGCGCACTACAGGATTTTTTGGATAGCAAGCGCGATGACCGGGGGGAGGGGTAGAGATGGAGGCTGCTACCGCTCTTTATTCAAAAGTTAGTGCTGCTATGCTGGATATGCATCTAGAGCTATTTCTCACTAGTGCGCAATCTTGCTTATTCGACTCATCTATGTCATTCGGCTAATAAGGCTATCCAGCTTCCCAAGATCATTCGTCCATTTCAACATAGACTTTCCTGGGGACGCGAAATTCCACGAAATTTCCATTCTACCTTCACAGGGTAGATGCCAAAATACGGCCTGGACATAGTCTGATGATAAATTTAAATGTGAGTCGATTTTCCACAGTGCGACAGATTTTTCATGCGCCTTCATTTCTCTGACTTATTTTTAAGAGATACGGCTTGGCGCAACATTATAAGTGGAAACGGATTCTTAAGCTTGAAACTGCCAAGAACAATGTGACGAAAGCCACAACATTGGAGATTCTCCTTTAACAGCAGGTCACAGCATGAAGCCCTCCTGTCATACATTCCTGGTCTGAGCCCTGCTCCCGTCCGCCGTCGCCGCCCACCGCCCGGGCCCGGCTGTCTCCAGCATGACTGATTGCGAACTGGTCGTATGGCTGCTTTGCTGCTTGTCTCTGGATCAGCATTGCTATTTTTAGTGTGTAAAACAAGTTCGACACTTGCAACAGCATCTTTTTCCTGAATTATCTTCCCTTACGCCACACCACCCCAGAAAAAAACCTCCGGGAATACTGCCCACCAATTAATGTAGACGACTTGATCTGTTTTTGTGTGTAGGCAGAGGCGCTGCCAGCCTTGCTAAGGGGGAGCGCACGACTGGCAAATGCCCCACTTATGGAAACCCCCCAAAAATCCTCGGTCATGGCTTACTTTTTAACATGGGGTACGGTTTTCTTTGTTTCATTGCTATTTTTGCCTTGCAACCAGAACACAAAGCAGAAGCCAGCGCGAGATCAATTCGGTTTATTTTTGGAAGCAAATAAACTGCAGAAATGAGGCGTTGAACGACCGATGAAATAAATCGCCGATGACCTTGGATGGACTGTAGATGGATATATTTGATCGAAATTCGATGATGAAAATTTGATCGTAGATTGAGTGGTCAATAACGTGCATATGACCGCACCATGTTTGCCTGAAAATGTTTAACATTCAGTCATAATCGATAACTGACGCAATTTATGTCGCGTTATTTTTTGACATGCGTGCTCGCAGATCTTAGCAACGAAAACATCGATGCCAGGCGTTGCAGTCTTCGTAGGCCGAGCGGCGTTGACCAATCAGCTAATATTGAGCCGTGGCCAACAGGTGGACAACAATTATTACGCTTCTGAAAGAAGTATCTTTGAACGCTTCAGGAGATCAAATCTTACATTTAGAGGGCCGTCTGGGCGCATCGTTCACGTGTGCGATTTTTAGACCGATAATGAGAACGGATTGGCCCTTAAAGCACCGCGAAGTCGCGCTGAAATCTGGCGGTGAAACTGAAAGAGTAAGGGTAGAATTTCTATGGGTCGTGTTTCTGTAACTATCAATCTGTCCAGAAAACAGACTAACAAGGTTCTCGCCGTCTGGTGGCACTTGCAGTGGCCGACGCCGTTCGGTTTTACCGAATCTACATCCCAGGCCATCGCTGTCCTTGCTCTTGAGGCTGCGGACGGGCATGTTCAAACCTTTTGATGTAATTTTTTTACTAATCCATTCTAAAAAATGAACATTCCCAGACAAACATGGGATGACCATGTTTTTTTAAATTCATTTCGACCCACTCTTTCATCAATGAGAGCCCACTAATCAACAATAATGAGACCCCTTATTTCCTTCCGGGCAAAGAGTTCCTCGAGTAGAATACCAGGGGCATATTACTGGTTCCGATCAAGAGCTGAATGGCCATTCCATCCCAAGGCGAAGTGCTTTCTCGCTGTCGTTCTGGCGACACGGGGCGGGATCTCCTGGTCGATCCCGGGGCCATTAAAATGATATATCATATCATATCGTT